GGAGCCGTTAGTAAATATATTTTTTGTCCCTGTCAGAGGCTGTAAGGAAATAACCTTAGGGAAACATATCGGGTGATTTTTGAAAAAGGTGATTAATTTATTAGAAGGGTAATGATTATTAAACTTGTAGGGATTGGTGTATAAAAACAAGGTTTAATCCTCAACAAAATTCTGCAGCCAAGTTATTTTTGTCTGGGTATATGGTGTAATGATTTTATTAGGTAATATTTTAAAGGTTTGTAAATCTAGTTTATATTTTTTTAATAACATGTAGCATAGCTGATGGATAAGATATAATAATTTTTATAGGTGACATGTGTTTATGTACCCATAGGATGGGTCCTGTTTGTCAAAAAATTTTAGTCGGACTATGTTGAGAGGGAAAAATAATCAAAAACAGCGGCTGACTATAGTCTATATAATGAATATGAGCAGAGGCAAGCTTTTTTTAAATTAAAGTAATATATTGTCTTGTCTGGGGTGTCAACTCACAAGAGGAAGTTGGGTTTGGATTCCCCTACAGGATGTCAAAAAGTGGCTTTAGGACTCTGGTAGGAATTCCCAGATTAGGCCGGATCCAATTGAGGTCCCCAAGCAATTTTTGAAAATCATTTAAAATTTGTAATTTATTTAAGCTAAGAGTAATTTTTTGAGGTTTTATTCCTGTCTGTAATAATTGATGTCCTAAATATTGATATGGAAATTGCTGTTGTATCTTATCAGAAGCAATTATCAGCCCAGCATGTGTTAGACATTCTTGCAAGTCAGTAAAAGCCTCAAGAACTATTTTTGAGTCCTGTCCTGCTAAGAGGATGTCGTCCATATAGTGAATTAAATACAGTTGAGGATATTTTTGTCTAATTGGGGCAATAATCCGTGCCATAAACATTTGACAAATGACGGGATTGGATGCCATATCCTGGGGTAGGGTTATCCATTGGTAATGCTTGTATGGTTTTATGAGATTTGTAGACGGTATATTGAAAATAAATTTATTAGAGTCTTTTGGATGCAGGGGAATGGTGAAAAAATAATTCTTTAGGTCAATAATTAATAGATGGTATCCTGTAGGGATACCCATAGGTTGTGGCAATCCTGGTTGGGTAGTTCCCATAATCTCTATGTAATCATTTATGACTCTAAGATCTTGTAGCAATTTTTATTTACCTGACTTTTTTTGACAACAAAAATAGGAGTGTTTTAGGGGGAGGTGGAAGGGACGATATGCCCCGCCTCCAGCTGTTTTTGGATCAAGGTCTGAGCAGCCTGTAGTTTTTTCTTATTCAGGGGCCATTGTTTTATTTAAACAGGTTTTTTAGTTTTTTATTTAATAGGAGTGCAATTTGGCTGTTCTGTAATGGCCCCTAGGAAAATTTTTTTAGCCCTGTATGTTGTTTAGGTAATTGTTGTATCAAGTTCTTGTTGGCTAAAATCTGCATATCCCCTTGGAAATTTTTGCCCAGACCCTGACCGGGGACAAAGCCCTGGTTAGCTAGCATGTGCTGCATAGGTTCTGTGGTTAGAATTGCCCCCATAGCCTGTAAAACATCTCTTCCCCATAAATTAAGAGGATGGTGTTCCAGGTCAAATGGTTTAAAAATGCCCTTATGGCCCTCATTATCCTCCCAATCTAAATATTGTGTGTTGCATTTTGGAGAGCTGGCTATTCCAATCCCCTGCAACACAGTGGAGGCTGGCTGTAAAGGCCAGGTTGTGGGCCAGTGTTTTTTAGCAACCATAGAAAAGTTTGCCCCTGTGTCTGGGAGGCCTGGGAATCTTTTATCATTGGTAGTCAAAGTAAGTGTGGGGTGGTTGTCTAGGCTAGAGACCCAGTATGCTCCAGGGGATCCCTCGGAGCCAAACCTTTTGTCTCCTCATTTTTGTTTATTGAATGGATTAGTAGAGTGAAAATTGTGTAAAAGCATCAGTTGGGCTATCCTCTCCCCTCAAGGAATGACAAGGACCCCCATAGTGGTTTTTATCATAACTTTAATTTTTCCTGTATAATTATAGTCTATAATTTCTGGTAAAGTTTTAATCCCCTTAAACATAGAGTTGCTTCTGCCCAAGACTAACCCCATTGAGCCCTCCAGAATAGGCCCAAATATTTTAGTCCCTAAGGCCTGTATTCCCATTTGTGGGGTCAATATTGTTTGGGCAGAGGCATAGAGAGCTAGTCCTGTATTCCCTGAGGTGCCTTGAGCAAGGTCGCAGACAGTGAGGCGTTTTTTTGAGGAATGTATCTGATTAGAGCGTCTGGCGTGCTCATAACCCCATACATTTGTGTTTTTGAGGCCCGGGGCTGGTCCCTCCCCACATTTCCTGACATTGGGACGGGAATATCCTGATTGTTGGTCTTAGACCGACAGTTATTGGCTCAGTGCATTTTTTTATGGCATCTAGGGCAGATACCTGGATTTTTTTGGGATAGATCAACTGTTCCTTTAGCAGCAGGGCAATCTCTTTTGATATGTCCTGGCTTCCCATAATAAAAACAACTTTTAGATTTAGCTCTGCCTGGAATTTTTCTAGGGGCAGAAGCGGTTGCCTGACCCATCATAGGGGGACTTTCTATGTCCCTGTATAGATGGATAAAGTCATCTAAGCTTTTGTTTCTATGTGGGCGCAGAACTTCTTGGCAAAATCTGTTAGTGTTTTTATAGGCTAATTGTTTTATGACTGGCATGGCTGAGTTCATATCCCCAAGAATATGATTGCCCATTTGTAAGAGGCAGTCAATAAATTCAGAATATGGTTCTGAAGCCCCCTGCAGGGTTTTAGACAGCTGTTTATTTGTTTTTTTGTTAGGCAGGGTTTTCCATGTTTTGATGGCTGTAGCAGCTATTTGAGCGTAAGCCATAGTATCATAGGCAGTTTGAGCTGTAAAGCCAGCATATTGACCTTTATCAGTTAGCATGTCAAGATTGTATTGAGGAAAACCAATGATGGCATTATTTTATGTGGTGTCTTTGTAATTTTTTTGTATATCATCTCTCCATAGCAAATAATCCCCTCCCGAGAGACAAGCCCTGTAAAGCTGCATTCATTCAATCGCTGGGTATAAGGTTGAGCTTTGCGAAGGATTTTAGCAATGCCATGGTGAAAGGGGAGTGTGCCCTGTAGGCCATGACTGCCTCTTTTAATTGCTTGACATCCTTAAAGGCCAGAGAGTCAAGCTGTCTGATTCTTTGTATTTGTTGACTAATAGTTTCCACAGTAGGATAAGTTGGCCTCTCCCCATTTAGACTATTAGGTCTGTTTAATATCTCTCGAGTTTCCGCCTCTAGGTCTATAGGGGCGAGAGCAGTGGCACAATGATTAGGGGTGGCAAAAAATGTTTTTTTTGTGGTGGAGGTCTCATAGGGAGATCTCTGTTTGCTACCCCCGCCTTCCTCTTTTTTTAGCTGTTTATTTAGAAGTGTGATTTTATCGTCTAAAATTTTCTCTTTTTCTTTTAAATCCTTAATGTTCCTGACTTTTTGCTCCTTAAAATTTTTGATGGAATTTATAGATTCTATTTTCTGAATCTCCTTCAGGGTTTTGTTTAAAACCTCTAATTGTTTTTTTATCATCATATCATTATTGAGGAGAGTATCTCTGATTAAATGTCATAGCAAAAAAACTGTTAGGGGAAAAGCTCTTGGTCCTCGTTCTTTCTGTGTAATATGAAGGTCAGCCTTCATCTGTTCCCAGTTTGTGATATTAAAACCTCCTGCAATTATGAACCAAGGACTAAACTCTGAAATCGTCTTAATGATCTCCTGTGTTGTCTCAATTTTGATTCCGGTGCCCAGTCTCTCCAGCAGGCCCAATAACTGATCTGTTAATCTGTCTTTTAATGTCGGAGCAGACATATCCACATCCATTGTCAATCCTGGTCAATTTATCTTTGTATTTATTAATAATGTTGGCCATCCTATGGAGGGTGACCCCCATGGATTCTTACCTTTTCAAAAATTCGTAGGTGGGTCCCATAGATGAGTAGAGTATAGCTGTCTTCTGTCTGGGCCCACCCAGGGACGCCAATTGCGGGTAGCACCTGAGTCTGTGCCTCCCGCCTCCTGGCACAGATTACCTTCCGTACCTTATTATGAGCTCGGGGCAAGGTCCTACGGGTTAAACAAAGATATACATAGACAGATCTGGGTCATTCGCCAAATGCCGAATGTTGAGTTTATTTAGCTTTTGTCAGGTTAATATACTCTTCCCCAGTAAAGGAGATCCCCTCAGGTGTGGGCTACTTAGTGCTTGTGTGAGAATTTTTTTCCATGTAGGGGGTGCTAGCAAGAGCGCAGTGACAGACAGTTAAGAGAGGTTTGGGCGCTGTGGGAACCCTTTTCTGCAGGTGGAAAATTACCATATCAAGGGTAGAACAAGCCTACAGCTAAATCAACATGCTAAAAGTGGGGCCAGCATAAAATTAGCAAAAAGCTTAACTGATAGCATAAACAATCCTTATGTTTTGTGCTTTGGCCTCAAGGAACAGGGGAAAACCTGGGATCCAACAGGGAAAACCTACTATACCTGGCTGTTGCATAAAAATTTTTTCCCAGGCAAGTTGGACCTGGCTGCTGCATAAGGATTTCCTCCCAGGCAGATGGGAAATTACCATACCAAAGATGAAACAATGCCCTTCAGCTAATCACCAGGCTAGGGCAGAGGGAGCACAGGAACAAACAGGATGTTTTAGCTGGCTGACCAGAAACTGTCCTCAAGATGCACCCCAAGGAGCAAGGGTAGACTGAGCCCTATAGGTCCCCCTTTTATATAAATTATATGACTAGGCCTGTCTTGCCCAATCCTTAATAGATCTGTCCAAATTGGAGCCCTTTAAGTAAGGTCTCAGCACTGGTGGAAGGAATCCTGGTATAGTTAACTAGAATAATAACAATAGTCAATTTGTAAATCTTGCACTCCAGGGTCCATGAATAGCAACAATAAGTCTTTTCTGTAACCTAGCAGAGGTCAAAAACCACAACCAATTGTAAAATTAACTGCAGTATTTAATTGTAAATTTAGCTTAATTTGAACGGCCAACGCATTTGTAACCTGCCCTGAGAAGGTATCCATTTTATTAGCAGAAGCAACTAACTGATTAAAGGAAAATCCAGCAGCATTAGCTGCTCTGGAAGCCACAGCAATGGCTGCCAATATCATGGGAAGGGTAGATAGGTAAAGGAACAATCCTTGGCACTCGGACCACCACAGCCAGCTCCTCAGGAACCCAGCAACTCTTTAGTTGACAAGCCAGTGTCTGCTGGATCTCTTGGTTTTGTCCTGTCTTTAGGCTTCTGGACAGGAAAATCCACAGCATGCACCAGATGCTCAGGTACCCAAATTGGATTGTCAGCATCCTGCGGGAAAACACAAACAGCACCTCTTTCCCACACAGTACAGGTTCTGGACCATACCAGGTGCCATCTGCTAGATTTTTCCATTTAGCATGAGGCATCCCAGAAGAATTTGGCCGCCAATGTCACTCAGCAGCGGTATGAGATTGAGCATCAACAGTCAAAAAAAATTAAAATGTATAATATAAAAGACAAATGGTCTCTGGGGGTGGAACTATAATCCCCCTTTTTTGCTTTATGTAAATAAGCTTTGAGCATGTGATGTGTTCACTCCACTATAGTTTGTCCTTGAGGATTATAAGGTATTTTTGTTTTATGAAAAATAGAAAACTTAGAGCAAAATTTAGCAAAGCCAGTACTAGTGTAGGCTGACCCATTATTAGTTTTTACAGTTTTTGGAACTCCCATGTAGACAAAAGCCTGGAGACAGTGACTTTTAACATCCCGTAATTTTTTTTTGTATGAGCTGAGGCAAAAATAAGATGAGAATATGTATCCACGGTTACATGAACATATTGTATGCGCTCAAAAAAAGGAATGTGGGTAACATTCATTTGTCATAAATGATTAGGAACAAGCCCATGAGGATTAACTCCCAAATGGGGAACAGTTAAAAAGTTCTGTACACAGAGAGCATTTTTTTAACAATATCAGTGGCTTGCTCTTGAGATATTTTAAAATGAAATCTTAAAGACCCAGTATTGAGATGAAAATGATTGTGAGCTTTTTTTTGTAGCTTCATAAGATTTTTGACTCACTGTATAAATTTGGCGAGTAAGCAAAGTTTGAATAGCCAATAACTGCATCTGGACTTGAGATCCAGAAGCAATATAAGCTGCAGTTTCCAAAGGTGTAAGAATTTTGCTTACATACTGACTGTCAGTAAAAAGGTTAAATGGAATGTCAGCATACTTTTCTAAGGCCATTTGTACAGTGATTAATTTAGTCAACTGAGCAGATTTAGCATTAACAGGCTGAATATCAAAATCAGAAAGGGAGGCCACCATAGCTCTCCCGGTTGAAGAACCATCAGTAAACATATTTTGTGCCCCTGCCAGAGGCTGCAAAGAAATAACTTTAGGGAAACATACCAGATGATTTTTGAAAAAGGTGACCAACTTATCAGAAGGATAATAATTATCAAACTTGTAGGGATTAGTGTAAAAAAACAAGGTCCAATCTTTAGCAAAATTTTGTAGCCAAGCTATTTCTGTCTGGGTATATGGTATAATAACCTTATCAGGTAACATTTTAAAGGTTTGTAAACCAAGTTTATACCCTATTTGAATAACACGTAGCACAGCTGATGGGTATGAGATAACAATTTTTATAGGTGACACATGTTTATGTACCCATGGGATGGGTTCTTTTTGTCAAAAAACTCCAGTAGGACTATGTTGAGAGGGAAAAATTATCAATAGCAGCGGCTGACTATAGTCAATATAATGAATATGAGTAGAGGTAAACTTTTTTTTAATTAAAGTAATATATTGTTTTGTCTGAGGTGTCAACTCACGAAAGGGAGTTGGATCTGGATTTTTCTGTAGAATGTCCATATAACCATTTAATGCTCTAAGATCTTACAGCAACCTCCCATTACCAGACTTTTTTTTAATAACAAAGATAGGAATATTTTAGGGAGAAGTGGATGTCACTATGTATCCTGTCTCTAACTGTTTTAGGAACTTAATCAGTTCCAGGCTGGCCTTGAACTCAGAGAGATCTGTAGGTCTCTGCCTCCAAAGAGCTGGGATTATAGGCCTGTGCTACTACACCTGGCTTTTTTTCTGGGCTGAATAACCATCCCTTTACCCTCAGGGCAATTTTTTTTAATGTGTCCTGACCTACCACAATGAAAACAATTCCTAGATCTAGCTCTGTCTTGACCTTCCCTAAGGGCAGAAACAATTACCTGACCCATCACGTGAGTACCATCAATGTCCCTGTATAATCGGATAAAGTCATTTAAATCTCCATTTTTATGGGGGCGTAAAACTTCTTGACAAAATCTGTTAGCGTTTTTATAGGCTAATTGCTTTATGACTGGCATAGCAGAGTCCACATCCCCCCCAAATGTGACTTTTTACCTGTAGAAGGCGATCAATAAACTTAGAATAAGGTTTTGAAGATTCTTGAAGGGTCTTAAAAAGCTGTTTTCCTGCTCCTTTGTTAGAAGTTTTTCAAGCTTTAATGGCCGGCATTATTCCGTGTAGTCTTTTTGTAATTTTTTTGTATATCACCTCTCCATAACAAATAATCTCGCCCCGAAAGACAAGCCCTGCAAGGCTGCATCCAGTCACTGGGTGTAAGGTTGAGTTCTGCAAAGGATTCCAGTAAAGCTACAGTGAAAGGAACATGAGCTCCATAGGCCACAACTGCTTTTTTTAACTGTTTAGTATCCTTGAAGGCCAGGGGGTTATGCTGCCTGGTCCTCTGTTTTTGTGGATCAATAATTTTTACAACAGGATAAATTTGCCTCTCTCTACTTAGATTATTTAGTCGATCTTGACTCTCTCGGATTTCCGCCTCTAAGTCTATAGGGGCGGAAGCAGTAGTACAAGGATTTGAAGTGGCAAGGAATGTTTTTAGCGGAGGAGGTCTCATGGAGAGATCTGTTTGTTTTCTCGCTTTTTTAAAACTTTTTTAAAAATCAGTGTGATCTCCTTTTTAAAAATTTCTTTCTTCTCTTCTATATCCCTTTTAACCCTCTTAACTTTCTGCTCCTCAAAACTCTTAATAGAACTCATAGATTCTACTTCCTGAATCTCCTCAAGGGTTTTGTTTAAATTTTTTAATTGCTCTTTAACTTTTACATCATAACTGAGAAGAGCATCTCTGACTAAGCGCCATAGCGAAAATATTGCTATGGGGAATTCTTCTGGCCCTCACTCTTTCAATGCTTTTAGCTTTATTTGTTCTCAATCAGTAATATTAAAACCCCCTGCATGTAGAAACCAGGGACTAAACTCTCTCAAAAAAAAAATAGGCAATTAACTACCTTACACAAAAGAAAACTGTCTTAAGGAACTCTTGTGCTGTCTTATTTTAATACTGGTGCCTTACTTGCCTTGTTTCTCTAAAAGCACTATCAATTGGCCCTTTAATTGGCCCCTTAACACTGGAACAGAATTACTTGCACCCATAACCAATACACCCTCACCACTTACCTGCTGGCCAGCATTCCAAGGGCAACCTCTCAGGGATCTCTACTTCCTGATCTCGCCGATGGGTCTCAGCAGATGGGTCTCCAACTGTAGCTGCTGATGATCCCAGCGGGGCCTCCAATTGTAACACTCGATTCTGCGTTACCCCCTCGGTACAGTTCACACGCCTCTGTACCAATCGCGAGTCCAGGCAAACGCCTGGAGATTGAAAGAAACACACAAGAGACCTGGGTCATTCGAAAGGAGATCAGCCGAATGCCATTTATTCAGTCTAAGGGAAAACGTATTATACCTGGCTGTTGCATAAGGATTTCCTCCCAGGCAGATGGGAAATTACCATACCAAAGATGAAACAATGCTCTTTAGCTAATCACCAGGCTAAGGCAGAGGGAGCACAGGAACAAACAGGATGCTTTAGCTGGCTGACCAGAAACTCTCCTCAAGATGCACCCTAAGGTGCAAGGGTAGACTGGACCCTGCACAACACAAATTGAACTTACAGCCTTTTTTTTTCTTTTTGAGGGGAGGGCACAAGGGTAGGAGATTAGACCTGAGAGGAATTGGAAGCAAGTATGATCAGTGTGCACTGTATAAAATTCCCAAGTAATTAATAAAATTATTATGTTGGTGAAAAATAAGAATACAGATTCCCAATTCTCACACTTGGACTTGAAGCAGATTTTCCAAATTCCAGGCTCAGAGATGCATACTTACTAAGCTTTAGAGAGGACTGGTGAGGACTCAATATTGTGAGAAAGCGTTCTCTGCAGTTTAAATATTCTTGGACAACTGAGGCCCCAAGCCTCTCAGCTTTAGGATAGGCATCCAGATTTTGCCAGGGAATCTCTTCCCCGTGACTCTGACGGACTGAGGTGTCTTGGAGCAAGCAAGTAGGGTGACTGAGTGAAGAGACCCTGCATGCTGCTTGCCTTCACTCTCGGTGCCACTCTTTGTCCTGCTATGGAGACTGAGGGCAGCCAAGACATCCAGTTTCATGGCTGAGCAGCTGCTGGATTCTTGGTCTTCTGCCTGAAGACAGCCATTGTTGGACTAGCAGCGTCATAGCCTGGAAACCATTCTAGCAATCCATGTAAACTAGAATGTGCTTTTATTTTCTGGCTACCCAGACCTGAATAATACTATATTAATTACCACACTGCTTAGCCAATGACATAGGCGTGTTCCTAGCTAGCTCTTATGTCTTAAATAAAGCCATTCCTATTAATCTATGTATCACAATGAGGCTGTGGCTTACAGATAATGTTCTGGCATCTTTCTCCTTTGGCGGCTACATGGTGTCTGCCTGGCTCTTCCTTCTTTCTCCCTGCATTCTGTTTAGATTTCCCGCCTAACTATATTCTGCCCTGCCATAGACCAAAGCAGCTTCTTTATTAACCAATGATAATAAAATATATTCAGAGCATACAGAGGGTAATCCTACATCAAATTACCTTTATTACACAGATTTTTTGACAATTCTATTTCTAGAGAACCTTGGCGAAGAGATTGCTCTTCTACAGCTTCCTCCTGCAGCATATGGGAGCAAATCCACAGTCCTGCAACAAGACACTGTGCAAAGAGTGAGAGAGCTTGGAACACTCAGTCCTAAATGGGATGTTGCCATCAAATCTGCCCACTCACACATCGGGGAACTCTGTGGAAGAGGAGGTGGAAGGATTATTAGCTCCTGTGGGGTTGCAAGACACCAAGTTAACAAGGCCTTCTAACACAACACATGTGATGCACATATGACTCACAGAGTCAGTGACAGCACACACAGAACCTATGTGCACAGATGGGGTCCTAGCACCAAGAGCAGAAATGGACACAATGCTCCATCTCTCATCCAGGAGACACTTGAAATTGATAATCACTTACAAGGGAAACATTATAGTTTTCTCCTAGGGAGTCTCCCTGGATATGCAAACCACATTTAAGTCAGGCTCCATGGCCAGCAGACAATGACCAACCCAAAATGAACACAAACGAGTGTAGAGGACCGCAACCACATTCGCCATTCCAAGATGGCGCTGACATCCGGTTCCACCGCCCGGTGAACAGGATAACGCGCATGTGTTGGTAAATTTCCAACGCTGTAGTCCCTGCCTCTCCCGAGGCGTCATCTGGGATGATGGGCAGCTGACCAATCTGAGAGTGACAGGTCCGAGGCAGGGACTGTTTCCTATATAAGGGCTGGGTTCGCCTCGCTCTGGGTCTCCGCCATGTTGGCTTATGCTCTCGCTCTCAAGATGCATTAAAAAGCTGTTCTGCAGAAGGATCCTACGTGCCCTGCATTGTTCTTGCTGGCGAGACAGTAGCGCGGGACAAACGAGGGCATCAAATCTCATCACAGATGGCTGTGAACCACCACACAGTTGCAAGGAATTGAACTCTGGACCTCTGGAAGAGAAATCAGTGCACTTGACCTCTGAGCCATCTTCCTAGTGTTATTACTTTGGGACACTTTAAGAACTAACCACGCCCACCTCAGCCACTTTGGACCTCCCCCGCAGCCATCTTCTCTCTGGTGCCTGTGTGTGGGTGTGTGCGCGCGTGTGAGTGTGTGTGTGTGTGTGTGTGTGTGTGTGTGTGTATGTGTATCTTTGTTTTCTTTATGTTTCTCTATGTTTTCCTTTTTTAAGTAATAAATGTCTAGCTTTATGTATAGCCTTATGTCCATTTACTCTGCTGTCCACCGCATCCAGCCGCCTGACTCTGCCGCTTGCCCGGGGACCCTGCACTGCTTTGGCGGCGGCAGCCTCTGTCTGGCTAGCATGCCGCCCGGGACATCCCATCATCATATTATTTTTAAAAAGAACAATATTGGTGCCGGGACTGGACAGATTCACCCGCCAAGGGCCAGAGTTCCAGCTTTACTTTTCGTCCGGGACTCTGACCACCAACTTCCGGGACTGAATCGGACCGAGGGCCTTCCTCAACACCGCCAACTGTCTGGACTCACTCCTACAAACAAGACCGGCTTCTAATTGTAAGTTTCCTCACTCCAGCCAGCTTATCTGAGCCTTTTTAACCCGGGATTGACCGGTCCTCCCGGTGTTTCTGGACTCGGGGAGGGGTACTTCTCCGCCCCGTCACTGGCGTCCGTTAAGGCTTGCATCCTGTTAAGCCCATGCATTCCCTCATCTGGAGGCCCGGGGCTTCCAGTCTCCTTCTTCCTCTTTATTTCAGTCTTTTCTTCCTTCCAACCTTTCTCGCGGACGTAATTGGCTGATCTGGTTCAGCCTTTAGCATCCCACATGGGCACTCAGATGCCTGGGCACATGGTTTTGGATGTTTGCTTCCATCTCACCTAAACGGGGAGCCGTTCCCCATAGGCTCGAGATGCCACGGTTTTTGAGGGATTTTCACCTCAAAATGGTGAAATGGTGCAAAAGCAAGTCGTACCAGCCTATGCGGGTTTTTCACGATTCAACAACCAGGCGGCCCCCGGCTTTTAAAATTCCCATGGCTTTCCATTCAAGCCACAACACGTGGCCGCCGCCATGTTCATTGGGGTCAGGAGACTTTATCACTAGATTCACTGAGAGCCAGATCACTCGACCAAACTTTCTCATTCTTATGTATGTCCTGCCTTTCCTCTCCCCCTCTTCGGTGTTCTCGTTAACTCTGATTACAGGTGTTTTGCATAGTGACGTGCTTTCTGATAGGGCCCATCAGAAACATACACTTTGCCTAATTCCTGTTCTCTGTGTATGATGATTGTTCATTTCATCTCGTTTCAGACTACAAAATCATAAGTCTCATATTTTAAACTGGTCTGTACTTTTAAGCTGTTTTCTACCATTGTCAGTTCTGCCACTAATCTTAATGTTACAAACAATTTTTTTTCTTTCTATCTGTCTTTTTACAAATGTGGATCTTACCTATTAAAAGTCAATACAGTCAAACTCAAACCCAATCTTCCAGACAGATTCTATACTGCAACTACACCTAATAATCAGCCCTCAACTGCTCAGAGATCTGGGGAATGCGATATTTAAATGTTTTATTATTTAAAAAACTTTTCATAACAAAAAGAAACAGGTTGGCTCCTAGCAAGCACTCTGTTTCCTCCGAGAAGACATAAGACCAGCATCCATTTGCAGTTTGCTTCGACTGCCAAGCACTGACCATTTGGCAAAAACTGCCTAAACTGGAGACCTCCAAACATGGACAGGATCACTGGAATTGATAGCCTAGCTGTCCAGGGTCAAGGTAGGCCTGTCTTTCTAAAGATTTCCTAGTCCACAGGGTCTTCAAAAGCCTGACTGGCTCTGCGCTAAACAACAAAGGTCAAATGCAACCTTCAGCGACCAGGGAGGACCAAAGAGTAGCTCTGGGTGCCAACCAAGTAAGTTCTCTGTCATTTTTTAATCAGTAACTCAAGTAAAATCTTATCCTTCTCAAAGATCTCTGACAGTCTGATAGCTAAGAGGTTTTGCCAGGTTGTCTCACCAAATAAAAATACTTTTCATTATAATTTCTGTTTTTACAAACCCAAGGAGTTCTTAATACAATATATATGTCTAAAACTTCTGTTTTTCTTATAAGTTCCAGGGAACCAAATTTAAAAACCCACCGTAAACAGGTCAGATACAAACTTCTCAATTCCCTGGTCCTAAAATTTTTTCCCAATTTAACTTTGTCCTCTGTTCTGTCAACACCCTAACCAGGTACAAGGGACATTTTCATGCCACAGACACCTATCCTGTCGGGAGCAGAGACCAATTATGACAGGAGTGACCAACACCCAGCTTCTCTCAGATCTCCCTCACCCCCCCCAAAGACGACGCCCACAAATCAGCCAGAAGCAGTCTTGAGAATACGCTGCCCCAATTCCTTCAACCTGTAATGTCTAACCTACTTTTTATTATAAAAAGGATCCGGGAATGTTATTACTTTGGGACACTTTAAGAACTAACCACACCCACCTCAGCCACTTTGGACCTCCCCCGCAGCCATCTTCTCTCTGGTGCCTGTGTGTGGGTGTGTGCGCGCGTGTGAGTGTGTGTGTGTGTGTGTGTGTGTGTGTGTGTATGTGTATCTTTGTTTTCTTTATGTTTCTCTATGTTTTCCTTTTTTAAGTAATAAATGTCTAGCTTTATGTATAGCCTTATGTCCATTTACTCTGCTGTCCACCGCATCCAGCCGCCTGACTCTGCCGCTTGCCCGGGGACCCTGCACTGCTTTGGTGGCGGCAGCCTCTGTCTGGCTAGCATGCCGCCCGGGACATCCCATCATCATATTATTTTTAAAAAGAACAATACATAGCCCCTGCCGATTGGTTTGCTAATGAGATAGAGAAAGAAGAGGTGTGGATTTGGGTTTGTTGAGAGGCAGGAAGGATCTGGGAAGAGTTGGGGAAGAGAAACTGATAAATATATGTTGTATGAATAAAACTACTTTCAATAGGAAACAAACCAAACCAATCAACCCAAAAAAAAATGCTGCTCTTCTATCAGACCCAAATTAGGGTCCCAATACCTATATCATGTGACTCACAGAAGCCTGTGCATCCAGCTCCAGGGAGATTCAAGCCTCTTTTGCTGGCCTCTGAGGGCACCTGCATTTACATACACAAACACTCCCATACGGATGTCCATGCTTTTTAAAACTGTTGAGTCTCGCCCTGCACGTGCTGGAGCTCCTGTCACTGAGTGGTTCCTGATAGGAGCAGCTACCACATCTACTGTGTTAGAGCTGACAGTCAACGTCAGAGTCCCGCTTGTGTGGGAGAAGGAACCTGGTGAGAGGAAGATGAAAGCAGAGGCGGAACATACCATCAACGAGCAGAGGGAGGGAGGACTTACAAGTTTCCCAGGCAGCCCCATGGGACCTGGCCTGGGCTGTAATGGACTAGGAGAGCGCTTGGCTGTAGTGGGTGGTTCAACACCTTCAGCTGCCTGGTTTCTTCCTCAGTCACCATTCCTTATGCTCGCTGACATCAGTGGAAGTGGCTCCTTCCAACACTGTTACCGGAAATTGTAATTTGCTCTTTTTCATGCAACAGACTCCCTCATTGCCTACCGTACCTCTGTCACTAGAGCACACACAAGAAAGCAAGGACTTTGCCCCCAGCATTTGCATTTTACTGCAAAACCATAAACCCTTCTAAGCAAGGACTTCTGAGTCCTGCCTCACTCTCTAGATGCTGAAGGATGGTGAAGAATGCACGGGGCTGCAAATAACTAGCAACTAATTAACAACTGGAATCAAGCTCATAAAAGACTTGTAGGAATTATGTACCTTTCCTGAATACTTATTTTTGTTCAGGTATATGCAGTGTAAATTTCTTTCTCATATATGGCTTGTCCTTTAATTATGTGAGATATTTGCCCAAAAGTTCAACTTTTTTTTAAAGATCAACTTTTTTAAGAAGAGTATCTACCACCAATATTAAAAACAATCAGTAGCACCTTTACCTGAGTCTTGCCCCCTAGAGGCACAGTGACAATGCTGTGTTGGGTGTAATATTTTTGTTAAAGCGATTCCTGCCTCATTAAACTTTTTTTTCAACATTTTCTTATTTAATTATTGTAAGCTTGCTCTTTTGTGTAAATTTCACAAGTAGCCTGCGACACTCCATGAGAACGTTGGTAGGATCTTTACTGAAGTGGCAATGAATCAGACTCGTCACAAACGTTTTATCTTTATAGATGAGAGGGAGACTATGGAGAAAGGAATAGAGAAGATTAGCAGAGAGAAAGATGTGAGCTGTGCATCCATGACCTGTCATAGTTACAACCTGTAACAATTCCACAAACTCTAAGTCCATCTCTGACTGTCAATATATAAGATGACCACTTTGAAGCTTATACTCATTTCTGTCACGAATGGCGTGGCGAATTAACTTGTTATCATATGTTTGTTTCACTACTAATTTTTCAAACTTTCTCCCAGTCTCTGGGTCTCGGGATTTTAGAGCAGGCTTCTTTGAACTCACCCACAGAAGTGTCATTCATTCCTGCAGACTGTATTCACTAGGCAATACAGTGCCTACAGAAGGGTCAAAGTTCCCACTGTGACAGTCAGAACAAGGTCCAGGTTTATATGGCAAGGAGTCTTTGCTACGAGTCCAGCTCATTTGCAACAATGCCTTGGACAAGAGCGGCCTGTGGTCTCTTCCTGATCTTGTTTTCTACCCACATAGCAGCCGTATCGGTAAGTAGTTGTCTCCTTCTATGGATATTTAGAGGCCTGGCTCTAACCTAAGTCAGTCACTTTGTGTACGTTTATCTCCCTCCAGATTCAGCATCTTGTGGATGGACATGGTAAGAAACATTTCATATGCAATTTTCTGAGTTTTCCTCAACAAGATTAGTAACGTTTTCTTTCTATTTTGACAGACCATGGTGCGGATGGTGAACAGAAGGATATTTCAGAGATCAACTTAGGTGAGCTCAGTTTCTGAAATACTGAGACCATGAAAACCTTGAAATCCTTGAAAGCCCCCAGAGTCCCAGAACTGCAAACGGACACCACTATGTCTATCTTTAAAGGATTTCACGCCCAGTGATAGGATTACCCATTTGAGAGACCAGTTCATTGGTGCCTACTGGCGTTAGAAGTTTCTAGAGAATAATGATGCGTGAGAGAAAGGGGATCACATGTTTTCTCATGCCAGTGTCTACACACACATGTGTATGGAGGCAAGAAATTGGCGTCAGTTATGGTTCTTCAGGAACTGGCCTCCTTGCTTTTTGAGACAGGATCTCTTTGGTATGTGTCTTGCCAAACAAGTTAGACTGCCTGGTCAGGGAGACCCAGGGATCCACATGCTTTTACTTCTTTGGGGTCACAACCACTCCTGGGTTTTTGCTTGGGTTCTGGGGCTCGAACCAGGTCCTCGTGCTTTCTCAGCGTTCATTTTCCCAACTGAACCATCACCCCAGGCCCTAGGTTAGCTTTTTCTAAGACAGCTAGTGAGCTCTACTGAATCTCAGACTACATAGTGTAGGATTTTCGTTTATGAGGATTTCATATTTTCTAGTTTCTAGTTTAAAATAAAAGGGAAGAGGAATAGACATTTATTCTACTTGATAAAAATTATAACGAACAAGCAGAGAGTTCTATTTAATGGAAGAAAGAGCCCAAGCCTGACCTGGCCAGTCATATGTACTAGTGATGAGACGGCTGGTTGACCAGGCATAGAGAAATGAGCAAATGTATTTCTGTCTGGAGTGCCTGTTTAGAAATGGATTTATTGAGAAAAACCATGCTGTCATTCATTACTGAGAGGAGCAAGATCGAGGTGTTGCCTCTTCCTGTCTTGTTTCTGTGTTCTGCTTCTGAGGTTTCAGAGAAACCTTTGCACCTTGTCATCTTCGGCTGGGACTGGTGCCAGCGTGGGACACCTGATCACCAACACCTTAGAGTCTGCAAAGACATTCATATCCAGTGTCACCCCCATCTTGTAGTGTTTCCCTTTTGCAGGAAGAGATGGGAAACTCCCGTTAGAGAGCCTGTTCACAGTGCTGTAAAGAGGTCACCGTCTCTTCCTTAGTGTGCCCCTTGTTCACTTCCTGCTCCAGTCCAGGTGCCAGGGAATGCACATGTTTGCACACAAGAGGCCCAGGTAGCAGTACGGCTCAATGAGCATGAAACGCCCCTATGGAAAATCAATTCCAAATCTGTTCATACTGACGCTGAGGTTGCAATGGCTTTGCAGTTGCTTGTTATTTAATTTTCGGTTATCAAGTAACTGGATTAGAATGGATAGGGTTGAGTACATCTGTGGAATGCATGCATACAGAAGGGGTAGAGCAGGCACAACCTTTGTCCTGGGCAGGGGAGACCATGCTCCCTTCTATTACCTGGCCCCTTGGAGATGTTTTTGTAAAAAAAGCTATATGTTTTGTAGAATAAGAATTCTGCTACTACATAGGACTGTGGAGATTATTCTCTGGATTGATTTCCTAGTTGTAATCCAAGGGCTGTTCTCAGATTGCAGTGCAAGCTAATGATCCTGTCTGAAGATGTTTATATTTTATAGGTGATACTGATTGTCACATAGGTTTCAAAAGTGGAGTTATCAGGCTGGGGAAGTACCTCAGTTGGTTGGAGTTTGATCCTCAGCACCCCCATAATGGGTGTTGTCTTAGTGTTACTATCGCTGTGAAGAGACACCAAGGCCACAGCGACTCTGATAAAGGAAAACATTTAACTGGGACTGGTTTACAGTTTCAGGGGTTTAGTCCACTATTGTCAGGATTGGTGTCATGGTGGCATGCAGGCTGACATGGTGCTGGAAAAGAAGCTGAGAGTTTTACATCTTGATCCACAGGCAATAGGAAGTAAACTGTGTCCTCACTGAGTATAGCTTGAACATATATGATACCTCAAAGCCCACCTCCACAGTGACACACTTCTGACAACAAGGCCAAACCTACTCCAACATATACTTTCTAATAGTGCAGCTCCCTATGGGCCAATCATTTGAAACATGTGAGTTTGTGGGGAGCATACTTATTCGAACCACCGCAAGTAGGATGGCAAATGCTGTAACACCAGAACTGGGGAGATGGAGGCAGGGAGAGCTGAGTTCAAGGCCACCCTTGTCTGTGTGAGTTATAAGAGACTGTGTTTAAAAAACAAGAGTAGACAAAACTATAACTTCAGTCACTTTAGGGGAAGAGTGTGAAGTATTGTTGTCAATGTTAACATTTACTGATTATTGGGTATTTAATCTTATTGCTCTGATTTCGTGGGTGCTTGGAGACAGGGTTTCTATGTGTAGCCCTAGCTGCCCATGAATTTGCTTTGTAGATCAGGCTGGCCTTGAAATTAAAGATATCTGCCTGCCTTTTCCTCACAAGTGCTGAGATTAAAACCCTGCACCACCATGCCTGGCTGGTTATTAGGCGTTTCTGCTTAGAGCACATTTTAAAGTACTTTTATAGGTATTATCACTTAATTCTCATAAGTCTATAAATTTCAGAGTATTGTGGTTACTTTAAATTAGGGAAACAACATAATACTAATTAATTCAAGGCCAAGACTTAAACCCAGGACCTAGGTTGTGCTTTTTGTTATTGTTATTTGTTGTTTTAAGACAGAGTTTCTCTGTGTAGCTTTGAAGTCTGTTCTGGAACTTGCTCTGTAAATCAGGCTGGCCTCGAACTCACAGAGATCTGCCTGCCTCTGCCTCCTGAGTGCTGGGCTTAAAGCCACACACCACTACCACCCAGCTTAGATTGTGCCTTTTTAATACTGTAAAATTAAAACTAATTAACTAAGCATTATTTTAAAAGGTAGGTGATGTTCTTTAAATGCTTGTGAAGTTTCCCCATGATCTTTTCTTTCAACAATGGTATTATCAGAAGTCCTTTGAGGTCAGGGTTAAGCAATCCAAGCAGTGTGTTTGGGTCCATTATGCTAAGGATCTGAAAAGCAGGGCTTTGAGATATCACCTTGAGTGAATCTGAACCTGGTTCCCCTGGTATTCTTCATTACAAGGGCGGAGTCACTGGTTTAATATCAAAGGCTGCCATCATTCTCATGGGAGGAAATCAACTCAATGCATTTACTTAGGTGAAGGGGAGGGAACAAGAAGGCCTGGGTTGGGACACCAGCTGTAACACCACTTGGACAATGACCTCCGAGTTCATGGATTCTCTCTGGGCTTCATTTCTTCCTTTGAAGAATGGAAGGTTTAGAGTTCATGATAAGCAATATCACTTCTGATTCATCTTAGTTGCAAAGTTATTTTAAAATAGTATTAGTTTATATGTATGGATGTTTAGACTACATGTTATGGTATGAATGTGCGTGTCTGGTGTGCACACAGGCCAGAACAGGGCACTGGACCCCTGGAACTGGCATTACAGATGATAGGCAGTTGTCATGTAGGTGCTGGGAATTGAACCCAGGTCCACCGCAAGAACAACCAGTGTTCTTGACCACCATGCCATCTCTCAAGGCTCAGTTCTGAGGTTCTAGGAGAAGGGCTTTCATTACAAAATTGAAAAGAGGCCATATGAACATGAAATACTTACTGGTGGTTCACATGTACTCAATCAGAGGGGAAAAAAATCACAATTTCAAGAAGAGATAGAAACTGCATGAGATGAAAGATGTATAATAACAAAGATCAGATTTACTGTGCCATGTCTCTTATTAATGTTCGTTTCATGCATCCTTTTGTTTTTAAATCCACCTTAGCTGCAGGCCTGAATCTCTTCCAAGGGGACATCCTTCTTCCGGTGAGTGCTACCAATGGTATAATACTGTGCCCTGGGAGTTGTGACAGCCCTGGAGCCCAACCTGTGCTCTGGGCTAACTCCATGCTGGTCACTGTGGAAAGAAAGCAAACACTCATGCATAGTCTATATCTATAAGAACTTCCACATAGTCAATAGCAGTAAAACATTAAAAAGCAGAGAAAAATAAAAAATGATCAAATAGTTTATCCAATTTTCCCCAATAAACAGAGAACAGGAAGTGCTCTAGTGAGTTTGAAGGTGTTGAGCCAGAGCTAGCAGTTACCTGACCCCTTTATTTTGTTCTGAATTCCCAAAAAAACTATCTCTAAGGGGTCCCCATTGCTTTTATAAGGAGAAGACAAATGCCCTGAGTTAGTCATGTGGAGTGTGGGGAAGGGGGTTAGGAAGGTAGTCTGGGCACTGGGTTTCTCAGACTTTTTGGTGGTGGTGTTTGTTTTCCATTTTTGTATCATCACTTAGTTTACAAAGTAGCTGTTTCTCTTCCGGAGTTTTTCCTACACCGTTAGGTTAGGTTGGTTGTCCTTCCCACCCACTATTCCCATTCTCTCCGATCCCCATCCATGTTTTTCCCCTCCATCCTCTGGGTTCCCCTTTCTTCTTCAAGTCACCCGTGTCCTATTAACCCACCCGCCTCTCTTCCTTTCAGCCTCTCTTTTGTATTCTCATGAGTCCCTTTCTGGTTTTTTGACCCCTGCTCACACTCACTCCCACCTAAATACCAAGGTATAAGTATTGAGAACTAGAAGCTACGACCGACCTATGGGAGAGAGCAGGCAGTGTTTATCTTTCCACACGTGGGGATTGTGGCACGTACATACAGTGGAATTTTATCAGCTGCAAATAAAAATTAACCCAGCAGGGGAAAGGATGGAACTGGACAGTAATGTGTTTGCTCTTGTTTTTCGTAGAGAACCAGAAATGCCCTTAGAGACCCAACAAGCAGATGGAAGTTCCCCATTCCGTACATCCTGGCTGACAACCTGGGTAATGGAAGTCGTTCTTAACTGGAAATGGGTAAACTTTTCTCTCCCCTTTTCTCATGTGCATCGACTTCAGAGCAATATAGAGCCATGAAGATTCTCTATCTCACGGGAAAGTCATTTTCTTACCCAGTCTGCAAGAGCGTTAAAGGACAAGTCAGGGTTTGGACAGACAGGTGCCTCCCAGGAGGACATGAGTTCAATTCCCAGCATCCAAGTAAAAAAGTCTGGCACACTGATTCACACTTGTAATCTCAGTGTTGGAAAGCAGAGGCAGGTGGATCATTGGGGGCCTCAGTTACCTGGCCAGCCTGCTTGGTGAACTACAGAGGAGAGACCCTGCCTCAAAATAGAGTGAACTGCACCTGAGGAACATGAACCACAACTGACTCCTACACGTTCAAACTCGTATATGTGTACCCGCCTCAACACAAACATGCACACATATACACACACAGACACACATGCATGCAAACACGTATAACCAGAAGTTATGGCACATATTAAAAGGTTAGTAACATCAGGAATAACACAAAGAACTATATTGTGAGCTCAACCTTGACATCATAATGGTGACATTGTTCTCTCAGTGACACAGACTGAGCTGATGGGAGACTGAGGATGCCATTTCCGACACACTGAGTTCTTCTCTCTGCGTTGTCAGAGCAACACGCTTTGGAGAAAAAGGAAAAGCATATACTACCCATTTTCAAGTCGTATTTTCTCAACAGTAATAATTTTGACATAATACAAGTGAGCCACCCTGCCCAGCTAATGACTTCTCCTTAATGATGCCACTATTGCCTGATGGTGCACACAGTGGACTCTCCATCATGATACTTTAGGAAATGAAAACCATGGCGTAATCATTTGGCAAAATGTCAAGGATTATGGTTTTTTTAAAGTTAAAGTCATAAAATGAAATGTGCAAGCCAAAGGATTTCATTCTCTATGATTTGGATTAATTTTTAACTGAGCTCTCTCCTCCCAGTGAGCTGATAGTAAGGAAAAAGTGTAGATGAAGTGAAATATAATCTCAGTTCTCTGGGATTCATTCCTTTTCCGCCCATCCTTGCCATGGGTAGAGCTGTACTGTACATGGTGCTGGCTGGCTGGTCTTCTACTTCCCACTGCTCTCACGGGGGCAAGGTAACACTCCATGTCCTTTTTTTTTTTTTTTCAAGAACCTTCACATGTCTCTAAACTGTACTCTCCTCCATCAAAGGGGGATTTTTGAAAACAAAACAAAACAAAAAACAAGATAAAAAAAAAAACAATGTACCTTATTTAGCTCAGGTTGGCCTTGAACTCCCAATCCTTCTGGCTCCTCTTCCCAAGTACTGAGATTAGAGGCATTTGCGTGTTGTTTACTTGTTTACTTGATGCTGAGGATGAACTCCAGGCCCTATGCAGGCTAGGCAAGCACTCTACCAAATGAGCTGCATCCCCAGCCTGGGAGGATGCTATTTTAGTGTGAGGAAAGGATCCCTCTTTTCTGTCTCTTGTCTCCAAGGTACTTCACCCAGGCATATAAAAGTCAGAGTGACTTGAAAGCCATATCTGTTTCCTGCTCTTCCATGTGGCTCTTCTCAGGAAAAGCTCTGAATGAAAGAAAGAAAAGAAAGAAGAAAAAGGAAGATGTTGTTCTGTGGTTGAGTTCAGCTTTGTACTCATGCATGAGCTACTGCCCTGTGGTTGCATTTGCGTTGATCAACTAAATTATGAACCAGCGCCATGTATGCAACTAACTCTAAATTCAGTTTCCAAGGAATTGAGTTATTACCCAAAAGAAAAAAATCTACATGGAACCCCTGTGTATTTCATATCTGTGGTACAATCTTCTATAAACAACTATGTGTGTTATCAAAAGTGAATAATGCCTGTCAATGTTTTAAAGATCTGAACGCCAAAGGAGCCATCCTCAAAGCCTTTGAGATGTTTCGCCTCAAGTCCTGTGTAGACTTCAAGCCCTATGAAGGAGAGAGCTCGTATATCATCTTCCAGAAATTTTCTGGGTTAGTACGAAATATTAGACAGTGGGGAAAGCATGTGTCCTTCAGTTTGTAAACTGACACACATCTGGTCTGAAAGCTGAGAGAAATAACAAGAATACAGCAAAAATCAGGTCTTTCCCTGTTTTCTTAGCTTCTGCGCTATCTCAGTCGCCTCAACATTCATTCTTGTGCAAGTGGCGTTTGAATTAGCGTGCAAAGGTACCCAGTGCTAACACTCTCAGGGAGCAGAGTAGGTAGGTAACACAGTGTGATCATTGCCAAGCCACTTTCTATGCCTGTAACACTGAAATCGACCAGCAAAATCCTTCATGTCAGACCAGATTTCACAGCGCAATCCCAAAAGGAGGTCATTTGTGGAAAATTCTAGGTTTGCTAGTGAGGACTGAAACCGAATTTATGAAAAGAGACAACAACAAAAGATTTTGGGAAAAAGAGGGTGAGTGGCATCCCGTGATAAACTTAGGGAGTTTGTTAGGGTTCCCTAGTCCACCAGTTTCAGAGGCACATTTGGGGTTCTTGGTGAGGGCCCTTCAGAAGCAAGGTAGGCAGTGGGCAGGTGACTTAGTGCTGCCAGCAAGTTCCTGAAAGGAGGATGGATTTATTCTGGTTCACACCATGAGGAGGAATGGTGGTTTGTAGCAATGAGGAAGGCATGGTGACAGGAGGGTAAAGTGGGGAACATTGCCCCCTGAGTCAGGCAGTGGAAAGCAGACAGGAAGGGGAGATGGGCTATGAAATCCCATGGAAGCACTTCTACAGTAAGATTCCTCCTCCTAAGGCAGTGGCTCTCACCCTTCCTAAAGCAGTGACCCTTTAATGCAGTTCCTCGTTTTGTGGTGACCCCCAAAACATAAAATTATTTGTTGCTATGTCATAAAATTTTCCTACCATTAGGAATTGTAGTGTAAATATCTGATATACATGATCCTTGATATGCGGCCCCTGATAAAGCGTTGTTGACCTATCCTTGGGAGCTCACAACCCAGTGGTTGGAAGTCACTGTCCTAAAGTTTCTATGGCTTCCAAAACAGCTGGGGACAAACACAGGAGCCTAAATGGTGCATTTCATGTTCAACTGCCCAACAGAAGGCGGGGTATTCTATGAGAGAAGGATTCCGGGAATCTGCCCAGAGTTCCTTTGTCTGCTAGTGTCTTAGGGAAGTTTTGGGTTCTCCTGGCCCAGGATCCTTCAGTGTGAGGTAGGCAGTCTTCCCCATGTGGTCAGCCTCCATCCAGAGTTGTGAACTGCTGTATTCGTGAGCTTGCTTTATCACAGAAGCTCTTCACAATCATGAAATTTGCCTCGGCTCCCGGTAGGGGATTTGGAAATTCCCTAGAGAGAGAATTTAAATCAGTTACAACCATCAATCAATGACAGTATTTTAATCTAAAAGCAATGGTGTTCTTTGGAGTGCCCTATGGTTTTACGAAGAGGAAGGAGAATACCAATTTTCTCTCCCTGATACCTTGTTATAGCAGTACTTTGCCGGGAGGAAATAGAGGCTTTTAAGATGGATTATCGCTCAAAATCGGCATAAGAAAACACAGAGGTTGCTTGCTAAGAACATCCCACACTGGATTCTTATCTTGTCATTGAGCCTTAGGTATAGGGAAATGCTTTGCTTTTGAAAGTTCCTCTTTAAATGTTTTGTTTTGAGTTGATCCAAGCATCTTGTACAGTTTTAGGGACGAGGGGCCATGCTTCCTACATGTATTTCTAGACTGAGAAACTGGTCCTTAAGAACAAAGCTGTGGCTAGTTCAGAGAAGGAAGTTTCGATGCTGTGAAGCATGTAAACTAACTAGGACTGACTGTACTGTTCTGGACATTTCCAAACAACAGAAGAGAGCATTTTGAGGGAGTCTGTAGCCCAGTGTTTAGACAGTCTAGAGTATGGCTGGCCAGGTTGCTCTGGGATTCTGTCTCTGCCTTCCCCATCCAGGGATTATAGGATGCTCTCCCTTTCCTGGCTTTTTAACGAACACTGGGAATTTGAGCTCTGATCCTCATTTTAGCATAGCAAATGCTCAACTAAGTAATAGCTCCAGCGACCAACTAAAAAACAAATAAAACCTAACTTTATTCTTTTTGTCCTGGAATCTTATAAATTGTAACCGTTTGAATATAAATCATATATAAATATGTAAATTATATCTCTATGAAAACATCTTCCTCTCCTTCCTCTTTAAAGGTGCTGGTCTATGGTTGGTGATCAACAAGTGGGACAGAACCTTTCTATTGGTGCGGGCTGTGACTATAAGGCCATCATTGAACATGAGATCCTGCATGCTCTGGGATTTTACCATGAGCAGTCAAGGACTGACCGGGATGATTATGTGACCATCCATTGGGATGAGATTCTTCCAGGTATGTATGACCCAGCACAGCGAAGAGGCTGCTGTTGTCTTTCGGGTTTTCTGAGACCATCTGTGGGAGACCCAGGCTGACTCTGTGGGCACAGGAGCGCCAGCCTTTCCATGAAAAGAAGGGCTGTGCGGAGGTGTCTGCATGAGGAGCTCTCCTCGGACTGTGTTGGTTTGGTCACACCTGGTCTCTGCATGGCAGGACGGGGTGACTCACTGGAGGGGTAAGTGTGTTTTCTTGTTCTCATGGGGAAAAGGAATTAGATTTCAGAGGACATAGGGCTGTTTTCTGCATGGCAGCTTCAGAAAGCTGAGGTGACATTATGATGACGACCAGACAACATACTCCAGAGGGTTCTGTGTATGTGTGCATATATCTGTGTGTTCAAGTGTATTTGTATATTTGCATATATATACATTTAATGCAAGTCTGTGTGTATGTGTATATCTCTCTCTCTCTCTCTCTCTCTCTCTGTGTGTGTGTGTGTGTATGTGTGAGTTGGCTAGTTTTTAATGCCAACTTCATACAACATAGGGTCACCTGGGAAGAAAGAATTTTAGTTGAGAAAATGCCCCAATAGGACTGGCCTATAGACCAGTCTGTAGGGAATTTCCTTCATTTCCTTTATTGTGACAATTGACCGGGCCAAGCCTATGGTTAGTGTCAAACCTGTGCAGGTAGTCCTGGTGTGTAAGAAATCAGGCTGACCAAGCCTTGGACAGCAAGCCAGTAAGCACCCCTCCTCCATGGGTTCTGCTGCAGTTCCTGCCTGTGGATTCCTTTCGTGACTTCCTATGACAGAACTGTGGTGTGGAAGTGTAAGCTTTGGCGAACTCTTCCCTCTCAGGTTGCTTTTGGTCATAATGTTTTATCACATCAGTAGAAACCCAGCTAAGACAATGTGTCTGCTTATGTATGTATGAGTGCGTGTCTGTCGATGTGTATATAAGTGCACGTACATGTATGTATATTTTTATATGTGCATGTGTGTATATATGATTTAATGTGTATGTATGCATGCATATGTGTATGCATATGTACATGTTTGTATATGTGTGTAGGTGTAATAAGTGTGTGATAAGTGTTTGTGCCTGTGTGTGTATATATGTATCCATGCATGTTTTGAATGTGGGAGTTAGCTCAGGATGTGGAAAAACATTTTTTCTGATCACAAGTAAATAGTGAAACTTCACTATGCTAGAAATGACTTCACTCTTAGCACACATAATGTTTCAAGCAAATAATTTCCTTGCTCAGGAATTTTCATTTATATTCCACTTCATGCATAGTTTCATATATGACTGTGTATGCAATAATTTGACTTTTCAGGCTCATGAGAACTGATTAAGCTCTAATATTAAATTGTATCCCAGGAAAGACTTATGTCAGCACAGCTCGTTTGGGGTAAAATAGTCAGTGGTCCTTCCAAGAGGATGGATAGCTCCCTCCTGTATCAGACTGCCCTGTGTGGTTTCTCAGCCTGTGTCCCTCCAACCTATCATAGTCTAACAGTTTCATGAATGTGGAATAATGGAGAAATAACAGGAAGGCTTTAAGTGTAAAAGACTTATGTGTTACCAGCATGCAATACCTATGCTCACACGCACACACACACACACCCTCACACACCCTCACACACACACACACACACGCACACGTCAGCAAATCCTGCCACCTAAGCACTGATGCCAAGTCGTTGTCTTAGCAGAGGGTTCCTTGGGAATCTATTTCCCCAAAGATGAAATTTCAGATGAGACTTTGTGTGGTTGGTTCTCAGGGTCGATTGTCCCGTAACTGGGTGTGTAGGGGAAAGGTGGCATGGACTTGCAGGCAAAAGTACTATATCACTGACTATGAGCCGTAGGCCTCTCTTAGACTCCACCCATATTTGCCTACAGGCCTGAATGTCTTACCTTCCTATACATACAGTTGGATTCGCTGAAAATTTCATTGGCAATTAAAAGGTGCCCTTTTGTAAGTCTTGAGGAAGATAATACTCAACGACTTTTAAAGACAGTTTTAAAGCAAACAATGTGCAATGAACAACTCATGCTGGCCAGTATAATCCACAGATTGCTCAGTGACGGCTGAGTCACGTGGCTCAGCGCACACCTATCTCCTATCTCTATTTCATCACATGAAATTCCGTCTATCTAAATCACCTGCAATCACTGGATAACTGCCTTCTAGGAGGACAGCAAACCCGCTGAGCAACAAAGCCAATCTGAGTTCCCAGAGTCACTTGAGCCTTTTATCATACCCCAGCCACAGTCCCTGCAGCCTTGAGTTTAACCTGAGGCCACAGTGCTGACAATGGTGCAGTTTCTGCTCCTCTTCTCAGAATCGGAATGAGCTGTCCGTCTTTTCCGCTAGGGAAAATATTCAACTTCCAAGGCTAGCAGAGGCTGGCAAGCTGTACTCCCAAGAGACACGTAGTAGCCTTTACCATGTGAACAACCATGATCAAATGCATGGTGAGTGTGTAATTTTTCTCTCTCCAAGAAGGATATTAAACATTTCCCAACCCTTCCTATCTGAGAAGCTGAAACAGAAAATAATTGGTCAATTATAGGACATTGATTGGGCTGTATAGTTCAGCTCTTCTTGTTGAAACCTATCTTATCTCCTTCTTACTACTCCAACCTCAATAAGTTACCTTTGATAGGAAGCTAATTTTTTATTCCTATATTGTTTTTCCTTATATGTGTTATTTCTAAACCAATGGACATTCTGAGTTGCTCATCTTTTTCTTTGATTTTTGAATTTATTTTTCCTAACACACACACACACACACACACACACTCACACACTCAAAACTGGTCTGGTAGAAAGACGAACAGACCTGGGGATGGGTGTACTTTGTTATAGGAAAATATATCTTAAGTATAATCCTGAATATTCTTCTTAATTCAAAAATGTCCTTCTTTTTGTTTATAATTCTTGCCTTGCACTTACTATTCTAAAGGAAACACACATGTACCATACTCTCATATATTACATGAAGTATTTCTAATGCATAATAATTAGGATATAAATTTGTATATTAATAGAAAATGGCTATTATTTGGTTGTTCCAACAATCTATTCATACTGTTTTTCAAAACCTGTATTATGCAGGCAGTAGATTAATACTAATAATCAACAATGTTTATTCTTTTATATATTCTAACTGTAAGATACATATGTGTATACATACACATATATGTTAACTAAAGATGCAATGTTTCCCTTCTTGAGATATCTGAGTACCTAGGCAAAGAGGAAAGTTTGGAGAGGATAGCATGGCTGAGTGGTACCTGAGGGTTCTCTCTCCAACAGACTATGAACACAACTTCAACACTTACGATGACAACACCATCACAGACCTCAACACACCCTATGATTACGAGTCCGTGATGCATTATGCACCATTTTCATTTAACAAGAATGAAAGCGTCCCGACCATCACCACCAAGATCCCCGAGTTTAACAGCATCATTGGACAGCGCCTGGATTTCAGTGCCATTGACTTAGAGAGGCTGAATCGAATGTACAATTGCAGTGAGTACCTCTGGGCCTGAGGATTGGCTAAAGATAAAGCAGCTTGTTTTCAGTCTCCATTACTTTTCTTGAATGCTATGCATAACCTTAAGCAATCTTTCTTTAGAAAAAGATATCTCATAGAATGCTTATGATATATACATGGTTTATAAGGTCTTGGGCAAATATAAGGAGCTGTTATTGTCTAGTTCCTCTGACTTCCTTTTAAGGGCAAACAATTATGTAAAAGTCAAGATAGACAATAGGTTTGAAAGTGTGTTGTGCCCTGCAAAACTCTCTCCTAGGGTTACCCTTAAAGTACTTTAAAGCTTTGAGATGGGGGCATTTTCCAAGTATGCTTTCTAAAGGTATACAGGGGCCTAGTGACTAAAGCCCATTGAGCTAGCTGCCCCATCCTTGGTCTTGACTTCGTGTTGGCCTGTCTAGCAAGGAATGATCACAAGTCTTTATTCTGATTTTCTGAGCTACATGGTTTTGTGTCTCCATTCTAAGAGTGAACCAATGACAGTAAGAACTCCATTTGGGAAAACTTCAGGAAAATGAAAAGCTTGTGGTTTGGTTTTGTTTAAACAGTGGTACTTTATTGGCTTAAGATATTAACTATTTGGAATTAGATACTTACATTTCTAACCATGTGTCAAAAATATCATATATAGCCGCGACCCACACCCTGCTGGACCACTGTGCCTTTGAGAAGACAGACATCTGTGGAATGATTCAGGGAACCAGTAATGATGATGACTGGGTCCGCGAGGACAGCAGTCGGCCTGGACAGGTGGACCACACTTTGGTGGGACGGTGCAAAGGTTGGTGATGGTCAAAGGTCATCACCCTGAGGTGGTGAATGGTGTCTTTAGGTGATTGAGCTCAATATCAGACCTGAAAATCTGAACGAGAACAAAGATTAGTTCTCCTATCTTAATCATGAACTCAATAAAAAGTATCCAGGCCATGGAGATGCAGAAGAACATTGTAGAAACTCCCCACCCTTGCAAGCAGGCGACCTTACTTAGATTCAGTAGGTGACACAAAATAAATGACCTAAATAGGAGGAGAATGTGTTGGCGAGAGTTTCACAGGAGTGGGTATAGGGCAGTAGAGGGTGCATATTATCAAAATGCATTTTATGCATATATGAAATTGCCAAGGAATGCATTTTTATAATTGACAATAATATATTGTACATCTCAAAGTAGTTAAATGAGTTTTCAAATGAAAGCTCTATGTTTACCATGTCAAAACTCTTAAGGGCATACCTCGTTAATAACTTCATTTTCTAACGGAAGGCAGTGTTTCCAGGTCAGCACCTGCCAATGGAAACACCATGGTAACCACATATATAATGCACAGCCTACAGTAGCCTCCTAAAAGGCTAAAAGGAAACAGGTAAAAGTCATTGTGACTCAAAGTATTAATATTACTGTATGTAGCTAACTTGAAAATGCCTATACGAGATACTTGCAAGTTTTGTAGGAAGTCTCTACATTATTACTCTGAAATCTCAGCATTCTAGAGGCTAAGATAGGAGGAACATGAGTTCAAAACCAGCCTGACCTATGTAAATCTATCCCACAAAGAAAATCAATATAAATACGGTAGAGAGATGTGCAGAACATTTGGTGTTTGCTAACTAGTAACTATGCCCATTGAGAGCGGATGTTTCTATTTCTATTCCTCAGAGACGTTCTAGCTTTGGGGGCCTGGATAATGGTGATGGTTTCCTACTCCTCTTTGTCTGGGTAGAGGGATCTGTGTCACAGACATCATGGAAGGCAGAGAAGGGATGTTGGCTGCTCTCTCCACAGGTGCCGGTTACTTCATGTCCTTCAATACCAGCTTGGGGGTGGCAGATGAGGCAGCCCTTCTGGAGTCGCGGATCCTTTACCCCAAGAGGAAGCAGCAGTGCCTGCAGTTTTTTTATAAGATGACAGGAAGCCCCGCAGACAAACTCAGCATCTGGGTGAGAAGGGATGACAACGCAGGCAATGTGCGCACGCTGGAGAAGATACAGACCTTTCAAGGTATCTAGAGGCTGCCGGAAACACTATTTTATGAAAACCTGGGGCCATGGTCCTCTCTGTCCTGGGTCTCTCTCCTGTCATCTTTTTCATCCTTCTCTTGCCCTCTCCTTCTCCTTCCATCCTTCTTCTACTTCCTCCTGACCTTCCTTCATCTCCCTCAGACTTTTCTGGAAGTCAACCACAATCTCTGGCTTGTTTTACCAGTGTTTTAAACACTTGAAAATTAAGGGCTTAGGTGAAGCTTAAAGATACTCTTAGAAGAGGCCACACGAATAGACAAATCCAAGAAAGTAGATGATTTAGAGGTGGAGACACAAACGAGAAGAAATGCTAAACAATACAATAGGCCATAACTGGTTTTGGTCTTCTTTCAGAGAAGGAAATGACATCATCTCGAAGTCTCCTTCTTAGGACTTCCCAAGAAGGTTCCAGTTACTTCAGCATTTATAATAGTGACAGGAACATAAGCCAATGAATTGGTAAACTCTACTATTGCCATTTACATGCCGAGTGTGTTTCTGGAAGTCAAAATAAAAACCTTTGGCTACCAAGGAAGGCAGTAGGATGTGAGGGCCATCACACCTAGCTCCTTTAATGATTCTAGTTGTTGTTGTGGTGAGTCTTTCAGAACAAGCAAGGGCAACACACTTTCCTTTTCCCCACCCAACAAAGAAGTCCTTAAAATAAACCCTAAAAAGGAAATATCGTTTCCATTTTATTAAAGAGACTACTTTCATTAAAGGGAGAAAACTTCCTGAGATGTCTTTGGGAAGAGTGGTTGTCCAATCACCTCTACCCCCTCCATTGTCTGCTGGCTGAGAACTCTGTAGTCATGGCCTTTTCTCCTTTTTTGGCATCAGGGGAGAGTCATGGTTTGCTGTTCCTGGCTGTAATTAATCAAAGCTACTATGGTAGAAAGATGTTGGCCATATGCGTTTTACTTTTATTTTAATAAATAAAACTTCATTGCAAAGAACTAGCACATAAAAAGAATTATACAGTGAGATCAGTCAGACCCATATAGCATTTTACATATCTCCTTTAAAAGTAAAGAATATTTAAAATGAAAATGTGTGGTAAATATAATTGGTGGACTGGTTGATAAACATGTTCAATTCACTCTGAAAATGTTATCCTGCAAGTGTGAAACCATTCCAAGTGGAATTTAGTTCCTTAACCTGATATGACTTCCCATAGGGCATCTTTGTAAATTACCTAAAACTAAGGTATAAATGGATTTTGGAATCAGCCCATTCTTAGGTTGGCCTGTCCATGAACTTTTCTAAAAGGCTAATTGAATACGACTTGGCATTTATAGGCTATTTGGCACAAGTTAGTTACAACTGTCTTGGAGTAGCTTGTAGCTTTGGTGAAATGTCTATTTCAACCCAGATACTTACATAAAAATGTGTCTATCAATATCTTATCAATATATAAGATAGGAGTCTGCAAGACTTTTATATATACACTTAACTACAAATGTTTACATACAAATGTGAGTATGACCACACACACACACACACACACACACACACACACACACACACACACACCTACACATATAGAGCTTATGTTTATAGTGAGGCCAGGACCTCTAATAGATGACGATCTGAACTACCACGGATAAAGTTCTTCTCAAGCAATTGTCTCAAATAATCGTGGCTGATTGAGGGAATCCTCTCACTTAAATAAAATCTTAGGAATTTCATTTAAAAGTCCTTGATCACATGGTGTAGTCTTTAGTCTGCCACTACCCTGACCCACACTTCAGCCCTGTTCTCACAACCGGTATTTAAGACAAAAAATAAAATTGAAGCAGTTACTCAGTAGCAAGAAGGGAACTTCCATTTTCTTGCCAGAATTCCCACCACCTGTAACCTGCCGTGTACTTAGTTCACATCTATGTTCCCAGTTTAGGCTTCCAGTCACCCAGTGTTTTTCCTGTCCATGTGTCCTAATGCAAGATCACATATTACTGGTGTGGTTCATGTACCTTCCCTGCCTCCTCAGTGTGTCTGAGCATGTGGCCAGTTTCTCAAAGGAGTGTCTCCACGGTCATCCTTAGAAGGACCCAAGAACAAAGGGATATGGATGCTCTTCGTTCAGGGAAGAGCTTAGTAATGGCTAGAAGATGCAGTAGAGGAAAGAGGCCACCGCCAGGGCTCCTCTCTGCTTCATTTCCGACTGACTTTCTTTGCCTGTGTTTGGCATTCTGGGTCACTCTGTCTCTACCATTTCTCCGTGTCATACTCTGGTTGTTCAACCCATGACCCCATATTCTAGATTGGTCCCTCTCGCCTCTTACTTCGGCTCTTTATTCAAACTTCCCGTTTCTAGTTCAGCCACAGCAAAAGAGCAAGTAGATCCTGTCTGCTCTTAGACCAAGTCACTGGATCCCCCAGGTCACCTCCATACTGGTGTTTCCAAATATGTGAGGAAGTCTAGACAAGGAGATTTTAGCCACATGTTACAGGCTGAGTCATATGAAATCCACCCATTATTTGATTATTGACTCCTAAAATGTCTATTTTATATGATTCAGATGAATGCATGGGCATTGTAGTGCTGCCGTAGAGGGCAGAGAGCTGTGCTAACAGCCAGCTGGCTCAGGAGGAAATGTGTGTCTTTAAAAATAGTGAAAAGCAAAACTGATTAAGATTTGAATATCAGTTGTAAAAGAAAGCCTGGTGTCGGGGAGAGGAGTGGGAAGGCGAGGAAAATAAGAGTGAGCACAAGGACAGGCCCATAAAGGTGCTGCACTGAAGCCCTCCACTGTGGATGCTGCCTTTAACTATCACGGTGTGTCTTTGGCAAAGTTGCTGAACATGCCTATGGTAGGATGCCCATGGCAGGAGCTTCCACGAAGAATGAATGAGGGAAGTGATATGCCAGGCTTATTAATTGTTGACATGGACTGTCATCAACCTGTGTCCTCAGGAGATTCTGACCACAACTGGAAAATTGCTCACGTGACACTCACAGAAGAAAAGAAGTTTCGCTACCTCTTCCAGGGCACCAAAGGTGACCCTCAGAACTCAGATGGGGGTATTTTCCTGGATGACGTCACTCTGACAGAAACCCCCTGCCCCACTGGAGTCTGGACCATACGGAACATCAACCAGATCCTTGAAAACACGGAGAAAGGGCAAGCACTCTTGAGCCCTAGGTTCTACAGTTCTGAAGGCTACGGTATAGGGGTGACCCTGTACCCCAATGGTAGAGTCACAAGTAATCCTGGCTATCTGGGACTCTCGTTCCACTTGTACAGTGGGGAGAACGATGCAATTCTGGAGTGGCCAGTGGAAAATAGACAGGCCATAATGACCATACTGGACCAGGACCCTGATGTCCAGAAGAGGATGTCCTTAACCTTGATGTTCACAACCTCCAAGAGCCAAACATCTTCAGGTAGGTACTATGAGCAAAGGAAGAACTTCCCCTCAGTAGTCAGTATCCACGTTAAAGAAAACAGTATCCCTCAGTTTCCCCGTGTGTATAGGAGTGACATAGTGATGTGAGTGTGGAGTTACAGCTGTTGTTGGTGTGCGTGTGCGTGTGCGTGTGCGTGTGTGTGTGATCAGTGTATATGTGGAGGACAGAGAACAGTCTTGAGTGTTTCTCTTCAGACACCATTCACTTTTTCAAAACATTTCTTCTTATTAGTAGTAAGTTTGTGTGTGTAGATGTATGTATGTATGTATGTATGTATGTATGTATGTATCCATTTAAGCCCCGATGCTAGCAGAGGGTAGAGGCATCAGATCCCTGGGAAGTAGAGTTCCAAGAGGTTATGGACAGACGCCCGAAGAAGGTGTTGGGAACTGAACTTAGGTCCTCTGCAAGAGCAGTAACTGCATTCCTAACTGTCGAACCCTCTCCCCAGCCCGCCCACTCCACATTCTTTTGACACAGGGTGTAGTCTAGAACCAGTAGAGTACACGAGAGTGGCAAGATGAGGACCCCAGGGATCTGCCTGCCACCATTGCCCCAGTGCTGGGTTTGCAAGCAAATGTCACTGTGCTTAGGGGTTTTGTTGTCGCTGTTGTTTTAGTGTGGATTCTGGGGGTCAGACTCAGTTTCTCCGTTTGATGGTAGACTGAGTCACCTCTACAGTCCTATGATGGTTTTTCGGTGCCATTGTCCTTTCTTTATCCTAAATTTCCTCGCAGTCATCTATGCAAAGCTTATTCTGTAACAGACCCAGGGATGGAGACTCAGGCTCCAGGAACTCAAATGGCCCCCTTCAAATTGAACTCAATGTAACTGAGAAGGCAGACGTTGTCCATCAGAAAGTCAGGCGTCATAGAGCTTTCTATAGAATTGATGTGTTAAGTCTGACACTGACCGGTATCAGTACGTCCATGAGATAAACTAATATCAACAAAGAATAGGTTGCTTTTTTTTCCCCAAAAGAGACATAAGCCTTAGCGAAGAATCAGCAGTGGTCTCCTTGTGCCCGTGATTAAGGAAGCCACTTGGTAGAAGACAACCAAGCAAGGTTGTGGTTCTCTGGCCTTCTCACCTCTCAATTCTGAATTATAATCCTAGGGTAAATAGAAAAAAAACCCTTGATTTGTGTGTGGGGGGTGTGTGCATCTGAGTTTTAACAAAGCCCTTCATGTTTGTTAAAGACGAGATTAGTATAAAAGCTAACGAAACTGTATGGCCCTCCTCACTCTGCAGCTATAAATGGCTCTGTCATCTGGGACAGGCCGTCCCTGGTAGGAGTCTATAATGACACCTGTGACTGTTATAGAAGCATTGACTGGGGCTGGGGCCAGGCCATCTCCCACGAGCTGCTGAGGAGGAGACGCTTCCTGAAGGACGACACCCTCATCATCTTCGTAGACTTTGAAGGTACTTTGTTAACTTCCTGGGTCAACAGTCTAGGCTCTGCGTGGCCTACTGATTCACCTTGGCTTTAAAGTTAGTCAGGGAGGTGGGAATTCTTTTTGTTGTTGTTGTTGGATAAGGTTTGTTTGTTTGTTAAAAAAAAAAAGGCTGTGTTATAATAGCCACATTTTACTTGTTTGGTCAAAGATTCATAGTTTTGTATAATGTTTGACTGACACATAAAGATTAGACATAGTCATGCAGAGTATACCACGTGATACAGTGACACATCTGTCTGTTATATGACTAACAACCCAGGACAAGTATATCTAGCTTTCAAACACCTGTCATTTCTTTTATTAAAAACTGTAATATTTAACTGTATCTGAAAGGAACCGAAATTCCGTCTTTCTAAAGTGTTGTCTCTGTGCAAGTTTATCAGTGTACTGATGTCAAGTTAGCCTCGATCTATGCTTCCTGTGGGAAACTCAGTCAGCAAGTGTGAGACAGAATAATTTTACAATAAAACAGCTGAATAAGTCATTTTTCTATGTAACATCTGGCTTTGTGGAAGACAGAGGAGGCTCAGGGAACTTCCAGAGTGGGTGCCCATCACAGTCTGTTACTAATCTCGAATCCTCTCTCTGCCGTGGCCTGCTTCCTGAAGATCTCACTCACCTGAGTCAGACTGAAGTTCCAGTTTCAGCCGAAAGTGTGGTCTCCCGAGGCCTCCTTCTCCAAGGTCAGGAGCCTCCTGTCTTGAGAGAAAGCGCTGGAAGAGCTTTGTTGGAGAAAGCCCTGCCAAGCAGCCTGGACCAGGGACAACCCAGCCGACAGAAGCGCTCAGTGAAGAATACTGGCCCCATGGAGGATCACAACTGGCCGCAGTACTTCAGAGATCCCTGCGACCCAAATCCATGTCAGAATGAAGGCATCTGTGTGAACGTGAAGGGCATGGCCAGCTGCAGGTAGGCTCCAAGGACAAGGGTGGCAGGAGGAGGTTGAGGTAGCATATCTGAGTCAAATTTGCTGTTCAAAAATTCACAATGGCGGGGCTGAGATGTGTCAGTTGGTAGTGTTCCCTGCGCAACCTGAGGACTTAAGTTTAGGTCTCTAGCACCCCATAAAACCAGAGCACAATGGCTCTGTTATGCCTTCTGGAACAAGTGAGACTAGCAGGGATACTGACTAGGATGTGGCCTCTGGGGACCTCAGTGCTGGAAGGTGGGGACAGGAGAATGTATGGAGCTCACTGGCCTGACTTCCTAGCTAAATCAGCCAACTTCCGGTTCAGTGAGAGACCCTGTCTGAAAAGAGAAGACAAAGAGAGACTGAAGAAGATAACCAGTGTCTTTCTCTGGCAACACACACATGAGCATACCACACGTGTGTTCACAGACAGACAGACACACACACACACACCAAATAAAAGAACATGGCAGTGACTACATTATACAAGATAACTGCTTGCATTGACCATGGCAGGATGGAAGCAGATGTAGGGGCCATGTTGCATGCTATCCCCAACGGGCACGCTTCCACTTCCCTTCTTTCCTTTCAAGCTTTGACTTGGAAATGATCTGAGGCTTGTACATACATGGCGCAAATGCTACAGATTTCCCTGTGTCATTAGAATAGCTTCCTGTCACGTTTACAACCAGCAAAGCCCAGACACAACAACATAACTCCATGGACCAGACAGCAGACTTCATTCAGCTGTCAACAGCTGAATGTCCCTTTCTGTTCCCAACCCCACAGTGCATTTATTCCATGTCTCCTTAGTCTCTGTCAGCTTGGAACAACTCTTTTCTTTCATCACTTTAACATCTTTGCAGAGTGACACCATTACCATGTAACATTTTCTTTACTTGTATTGACTCTAGATTTTTTTTATGATTAGATTAAACTTAAGATTTAAATACCAGAGGCCAGTAGCACATTCCTCTTATTAAGTTCAGTGCTCCTGGGAACACAACAACAAATGTTCACTCTCCCCAGATAGGGCAGCACCAGCAGATCAAAACTACAGGCCTGCACCTCTGCCTGAGGTCCTTGGAGGCCACATCCCAGTAGGTCCCCCTGCTAGCCTCACTTGTCCCTGAAGAGAGGCCAGGAGTTGCCATGCACACTCCAAAGCATTCTTTTCCACACGCCCGAAGCTGCCCTTTGTGGGATAAGCTTGCTCAAAATCACTCAAGCTGGTGCCCTTGGGTCAGAAGAAAGATGTGTCTGGTTGCTGTCATTCATTTGTAAGAAGCAAATTCTCAAGCTAGAGATGAATCCTTTAAAAATTAGAAAACAGAGGGGCAGATGTGGTGGTTGATTTTTGTCATCCTGGCACTTGAGAGGCTGGTGCAGGAGGATCGTGGGTTTGAGGCCAGCAGAAGCTGCATGGTGATTTCCAGGCTAGGCTGGGGTGTCACAATGGCACCCTGTGTCAACACTCACCCAAGAACTAAGAAAATAAAACAACTCCAGCGCTAATAAAAGGACCCCTAACTCATGAGCACCCCAACCTGCAGCTGAGCTTCTTGGAACAAAGGCCAAGTGGTCACTGTGGAAGCTGCGGAGCCCTTCCCCTAGCGATTACTATGTTAACATTTTCAAATGAAAACAGTCCCCAAGTTTAGCTGTTAGGCCCCTACTATGTGTCAACAACCTTATCTGGCATAGGATCTGTTTTTCAGCTTCAGGTGGTAAACACCAACCATGTGACTCAAAGTTATTTATCCTTCCTCGGCTAAAACAACAACAATGAGAAGGGCTGGATTATAACCCCTGCTGCAGAAATCCACGGTGTGGCTAAATGAATTGATACCTATAAAGCCCGTGGATAGGCTGGCAGTAGTCTGCATTGATACTGTTATTGATGTTGCTGGTGGGTCGTGTTACTAGAACGCACCTGCAATCCAGGTAGTTTCCACTCTCTGTGTTCTGTTCCACAGGTGCGTCTCTGGACATGCCTTTTTCTACACGGGCGAGCGCTGCCAGGCCATGCAAGTACATGGCAGCGTGCTGGGCCTGGTCATTGGTGGCATCACTGGCTTGATCTTCTTGACCTTTGTCACCTTTACCAACACGTACCAAAAGCTGATACAGTGAGCATATCCCTGTTGCTGATGCCCACCAGAACGCGGAGGTGTGTCCTCCACCAAGACTTCCTTCCTGTGGTCAGTGTACTTTGGGATCTTGTTTTATCAAGCATTGTGAAAGGGGTCCCAACACCAAAGCCGCTGGCCGCGCCTGCAGTTCTTACTCTTTCGTCTCTGTGCAGCTGTGTTAGCCTTCTGTGAATTCCTGCTGAACCCTTATGTCCTGAGACAGCGGCCATCACATTTCATTATAAATCTTTTGCTGACTTGACTCTCTCCCCTTTGACCACAAGCTCTAGTCAGACAGGGGCCTGTTGTCATAGGCTAGCACGCTGGCCCCGGTGCTATAAACATACTTGGTGGCTGTGTTGTGGATGCTCAGTGAGTATGAAATGAACGAACCAACAAGCGAGTGAGTAGCTGTGGCTCTGTAGTCATTTGTTTCTATTTCTATTCCAGATCATAAAGAGATGTATTTAGATTTAAATACAGCACAGATCATTAAACGATTAACTAGATCATAAATCTAAATGCAGGTGCTTTAAAGCAAATAGCTTTCACCACATGAAGTCGTCTTCTTGCTCCTTTTGTATCCTGTGAAATGACTGCCAAGATTCCTCTGTACTTTCTTCTGCTCTGGTTTTAAAAAGGCTTAATAAATCCAATAAAGATGGAGCGTGTGTACCCTATCTCTTCATTTTGTGTGTGTGTGTGTGTGTGTGTGTGTGTGTGCGTGTGCATGCGTATGTGTAGATGCCCCAAACCTCTTTTTTTTCAGACTCTAAAACTGCAGAGTTTATTTTCTGACTGGATCTGTCTCTGAGCTTGTAGAAAGTTTGCCCAGCAAGCGTGAAGCCCAGGGCTGCTCCCCAGCCGTGCACAACTTGGTGGACCTTATCTGTAATCTGTCATTCAGGAAATGGAGGCAGGGTGATTAAGATCATCCTCAAGTACAAGTTCCAACCAGGACTACATGAGACCCTATGTAACGATGATGATGATGATGAATGGTGTATTTTCTATGGTATTCGTGCATAACTGGGCTATATTATTGTATTATGTTAACAGACCAAAGGCGTCAGGTACAACTGTAAAGACAAGGTTTTAGCTCCTTTCTGTAGCCTCGAGCTGGATAGATGAAGGGAAACAGGAAAGTTCCAAGAGGGACCTAACAAAAAGGAAAGCTTCGAGTCCCTCCCCAGGCAGCAAAGAGTTGGCTCTTGATGTTTAATAAAAGAAGAATCCCAGCAACCTGAATGGCCCAGGATTAGGTGACCAGACTTCATAGGCATGTCATTGCATCTCCATGGAGTTAGCATGCAGTAGAAACACATGTGAGGGTAAAGGAATGATCCCTTGCAAAGGTAGGAGACTAGCTTGCATGGGAGCCACAAAAGGACCTCCAAGGACAAGCACTCTCTGGTTGGAGATACAGAAGCTTTTTCAGACTGTTGAGAAAGATCTTCAGACAATAGCTTACAAGTTATCAGAGTTACTGTTTCACCTAAGAGCACCCCAGGTACCCCTTGACTTCAGTCATGGTGCATCCTGGCAGAACATTGCCTTTGGCCCATTTCTAAGCAAATTGTAGTCTAATCCCTTTGTGTATGAGCTCCTCCTTCCTGCTGGGTCCCACTGTTCTCCCTGTGACTTGACAGACTCTCAGGGACACCAGGTCCAGTGCCTGCACTGGAGTGAACTGGGGCAGGCTACAGAGCAGAGGTGCAGTACACAGGCCATAGGTCACGTTAGCACAGAATTTACTCTCAAAATAATTTCAAAAAAAAAAAATAAGAAAACAGGCAATTGTGAAGATGCTATAAAATCAATCTGATCTACATCTGATACTACTTAGAGATCTTTTTTGCTTGTTTTTCTTCATTTTGAATGCTGCTCTTTTTGTCTACCTAGTCATCTATATTTCAACCTGTTCACAAACACCTCTTCTTATTATCTTCCATGTTTTATGCATATGTTTCTCCAAAATCTCTAGGCAAAATGAATTTTCAAAAAAAAATTACACAGTGGGGCTGGAGAGATGGATCGGGGTTGAGAGTGATCGTTGCAACCATTGAAGACTGAAGTTAGGTGCCCAGCACCCGAGAAGCCCACCACTGTGCAACTCTAGCTCCAGGGGATCCCACAACAGCCCTCTTCCGGCCTCATAGGGCACCTGCATGCACTTACACATCCACACACACACACACAGACACACAAAAAATGATTTTTTAAAGAGATGTATCATTTTGTTCTATAGTGAGAATCATTTGTCTGACTGGAAAACACTGGTGATGCTGGGTGAGATACAGTGAGTATGATGCTGGGGGATGACCTCTAAAAAACACAGATGCGCAAGACAATGACAGAGAAGATTTGCCAGCAGAAGACAGCCCAACAGGGTACATGCTTTCACATGTGTTTGCATGGGTACTGATGAGAGAGATTTGACAGGGACAGGAGGCTATACACGTGTGTACATGCATGTGCACACGCAAGCATGAGAGCACATGTATGTGTTTGTAGGAGATGGGGCTCAAAGTGAACCCGAAGACTAGAGACAGTCACTGTCCTGCTCAGCTTTCCTCAGTGATGCCCAGGGTCAGGCCTGGATCCCAGAGTGGACTGAGACCCAGACTCATTCAGGTCACAGTTTTCCTCAGGACCTAGACAAATTTAGGGCAACTGGACCCACGTTTGACTAACCAGCTCCGTGGAAAGCAGTAAACTAAAGCAGCGTTAAGATTTCTCTCTGCAAGAGCAAAGGAGAATCTAGTCAGGTGTAGTAGTGCCTGAGAGACTCTCAGCACTTAGGAGAGAGACAACCTGAGGGTCAGGGCTTCAAAGATGTAAGCTACAGAGTGAGTTCGAAGCCAGCATAAATGTTTAGGCCCCTGTCCCCAAACAAACAAACAAAAACCAAAAGCAAACCAACAGTACACAAAGAGTGACGAGAGCTGGAAGCAGAGGCAGGTTTTTAGTCATAGGCAAATGGCCACCAGCAGGGTTCTCAGGAATAGAGACCCTGAACCCAAGCCATCCACTCAGGTCTCCCAGAGCCTCGTCCATCCCCTCCTCCCTCACAGGAAGAGGGGTGAGTGTCCAGCTTGCCTGGCAGAACAGTATTGATGTCACCTGTTAGCTCTCAGGGTCTTTCTTTAGGGTCCTGGTTCACACACCCTTGCTTCCTTCCTTTATCCTAGGGGTTAATAACAGCTGATGACCAGAGGGGACGCTGCCCTGGGGGCTGGGATGAGGTGGGGAGGGCCAAGAAAGAGGAAGTCTCTGATTGCTGAGAATGACAGGGAGCCAGGATGTGTATGTTGGGCAGTTTATTTGCGAACTGTTTTGTGTGAAATAAAACCATTTCAGCTCCCCTTTCTGTCTTAATTACTGACAGAAAACATAATTCTACCAGGCACAATGGTATCTGTGGGGGCAGCATGCAGACAGAGGCTAAGACAGTCACAATGCCCTGAACTGCATCTGCATTTGCCTCAGAGATTTCTCTTCCAAGTTTGGCTTGGAATGAAATCAACACAGAGTGGCCGAGTCACCAAAGGAAGCCTGGGAACCCAGAAAGGTGCCCAAGCCCTGGAACTAACTGCGTTTGAACCTGTCATCTCCAGTGAGGGGCGAGAGAGAGAGAGAGGGGGGGGGGAATTTGCTTAAACTAATTTTGTTTGTGGGTCTGTTGTTATTTGCCAGCGAGAGCCTTGATTCACGCATGTGGCATAGCTGGGTAAAGACAGAAAGTAATGGAACCGGTGTGTCATGTCTCCGAAGCTGGCCTGAGCTCAGGAGGGGATGTTTACCAGACTCTCACCTTGTTCACTGAATTTGTCTCCCATTCTGGCTTGAACTCACAGGCTAGACTGAAACTCAAACCTTTGTAAAGTTTTGATTTAAGATATCATGGACTTGCAGTAGAAAGGGGTTCATCAATAGGGGAGAGCATGCCAGTTTTCTTTGTAGGCCAACCGCACTTCAGGGGATGAGCACACACCCACAAGTATATGGGCATACACACTGGAGGCATGGTGCTAGCAAAAGTAAACAAACAAAAACCAAGAAGACACGAAGTTGTGGGAGGTATAGGTGGATCTGGGAGGAGTGACAGGGAGAAGTCTGGCATACCACATCTCCTTCAATATCATCAAAGTACATTGTATGACGTTCTCAATAAAAATAGTTGTAAAAGAAAAAAAGTTATATCTTTGAAATTCTTTTAGTTCTTTCTTGTGTGTGGTGTCTGCCTGTGTATGCACATGTGTGTATGTGTGTGTGCATGTGGAAGCTAAAGGTCCATGTTTGGTGTCTTCTTCACTCCTGGTGTAGGAGGTTCTTCTGTTTGTGTGTTCCTTTCATTGTTTGAATAAAGAGACTGCCTTGGCCTTTTGATAGGGCAGCCCTTAGGTGGGCAGAGTAGACAGAACAGGATTCTGGGAAGAAGGGCAGTGTGGCAGACGCCGTGCTTCTCCTGCCCAAGATGGACGCTAGTTAGACTCATGCCGGTAAGCCCCAGTCAAGTGGTGATACACATTAATGGAGATGGGTTAATCAAGATGTGAGAGTTAGCCAATAAGAAACTAGAGCTAATGGGCCAGGCAGTAAATTAATTAATACAATTTATGTGTGGTTATTTTGGGGGCTACGCTAGCCAGGCGGCCGAGAGCTGGGTAGCGGGACACAGCCCGCTCCTTCCTACAACACACTTCGTCTTCATCTCTCAGGTGCTCATGCTGGCTTGAGAAGCACCTTCCTGACCAAGCCATCTTCCCGGTCCCTGGGATTCTTAAAGACTCCTAACCATGAATTAAATATGGAAGTGGAGAGGCTGTATATTTATTTCTCTGAATGGAGATTCTATCTAAATCTCAGAATGTCCCCAGGGAGTGACTCAAAGTGACAATGGCTGACTTTATTCTGTCATGTCTAGGTTCTAGGTTCTAATCTCCTAGCTCTGTAAGAATTCCCTCAGCAATTAGTAGAGATTGCGCCTTCATCATCTCCTTTTGCTTTGTGGAAACTGAGTCACAAGGGTTCCTTTTCCCAATCCACCAGCGTAAGTGGGCCATGGAAGATGCATGTCACAGACTGACTTCCATGCATCGTGATGACAGGTTTCCCCTCAAGCACCTGCGTCAGCCACGCCCCTGTCTACTTCTGCAAGTGATGCCAGAACCCGATGATGCGGACACCCACCGCTTCATGTTCCAAGGAGAAGCATGGGGTTGCCAAGTCTGTTAGAGCGGTGTCTCAGTCCTCCACACTCTGTGCTTTAGTGCTGCCTCCAAAGTTCACACTTCATTCCTGGGAAATCACATTTTCCTCCTCTGTGGCAGTCAACAACCCTCTGCTGGATAGATCTGTGCTGCGAATGAAACCATCTTCAGCATCAGAGCCACACCGTCGTACTTGAATGACAGCTAGGAGGTAAGATGACAACAGTCAACCAAGATGCTGTGTCTGGGGCATCCACTTGGTGGCTAATCCCAGGACTACCATTTGAAGTGCAATTCTCTGTCATTCTCTGAGACTGACAAAGGAAGCTGAATTTGCCCCAAACATTGGTCACCAGCCCCTGCTGAAACTAATGAAGTAAGATTAAGCTTGAGTGAGATTTAACTTGGGGCTGCAGAGATGACTCAGCAGTTAAGACCACTGGAAAGGTTTGA